GCATGATGATGTCTTTAAGAGAATTCTGCCTTCTCATGAGGTGACCAAAGTAGGACAGTCTCAGTTTCAACATTTCTGCCTCCAGAGATAATTCAGACTTGATTTGCTCTACGACCCACTTATTCGTCTTTATGGCAGTCCTGGGAATATGCAGATCTCTCCCCTGGCACCACATTTCAAATGAATATTTTCCCCCTGTCAGTTTTCTGTACTGTCCAGCTTTCACCACCAATTTAAAATCTTAGGTGTTTTAGTATTTATTTGAAAACTTTTATTATTATTATTGCTATTCAATATTTTTTTGCTGTTCGGTTGCCCTTTGTGATGTTTGTTATTATTTTCTGTGGTAAACTGTTCAGATTGGCTGTTGGTCAGATAGGCGGTATATAAATCAAGCAAATCAATTCATTAATTAGATCATAATGGGTTGTTGGATAAGAGTTTTATGGATCTCATGGGCCACCAGGAAGCTACGTACTGTAAATCCTTTTTCTACTCTCTAAGGAATTTTCTTCTTCCTATTTTGATTAGACCACGTGAACCTCGAAATAATGTTAACACTGAAGCTTCACAATACATATTTACTCTGATTACTGTATTTCCCGGCTAAAACAAAAAGTTGTGATCGCCAGATCCTCACGTTTCTTCACTGTCATGGTTAAAAGAAATCCGTAATAAGGATTAAATTGGAGCAAATTCAGAGGATGAGGGGGCTGGAAACCAAGCCCCTAGGAGGAAAAGCTGAAAGAATTGGGCAGGTTTAATCTTGAGAAAAGAAGACAGTGAGGTGATAGGAGAGCACTTTTCAAATATTTCAAAGGCTATCCTCCAGAGGAGGGGCAGGATCCGTTCTCAATTGTCCGACTCTTCGTGACCCCCCACGGACCAGAGCACGCCAGGCCCTCTTGTCTTCCACGGCCGCCCGGAGTTGGGTCAAATTCATGCTGGAATCATACGTGTACTAAAATAATGTGTGGGTGATCCATACGATTAAGTTGCCTCTGACCTAACAGCAACCTACCGTGTTCACGGTATGGGAGATCTTTAAGATTTGACCGTTATTATTTTATTTATGTGTTTGTTCCATTTACATGGCGCCTTTCTCCCAATGCGGCATATAAGTGGGTTTTTTTTTTAAACTAGAATTGGAAACAATAAATTATACATTAAATACAATTCGATGATAATAGCAATGGAATATGAATGATTTGGAAGATTTGAAACAAACGTAATGAAAAAACATCATTCAGGAACTCTTGTCATGACTGTTAAAAGCCTGCCCGAAAAGGGGGGGGGGCTTGGCCGTTGGCGGAAGGAGAACAAGGAGGGGCCTAGCCTCACCTCCCGAGGGAGAGCATCTCATAACCTGGGAGCAGCCACTGAGGAGGCCCCGTCTCGCGGGTCCCCATCAACGCATGCCTGCTCTGGCTGGCCATGGGACCGAGAGGGCCTCCTCTGATGATCTTATGGGCCAAGAAGGCTCAAATGGGGAGATAACGGCCCTTATACTGTACACCCCATGTTTTAAATCTTTTTGTTTTGGTCTGTTTCTTTCTATTTGTGCCTGATAGGCACTTCAGCCTGTCTACCTGTGCACGGTTGTGCATGCAAAGCAAACAGACATGTTCCTCTGAACATGCAAGCCTACGTTTTGAGCATGTGTGAGAGACAGGGTGCTGCATTGTATAATTTCCATGCTTCTGGTACTAGAACCTGTTGTTAATTTATTTGAATCCCACCACTGAAACAGACATGTTCCTCTGAAGATGCAAGCCTGTGTTTTGAGCATGTGTGTGAGACAGGGTGCTGCTTTGTATAATTTCCATGCTTCTGGTATATGAACAGAGCTCTGTGGTTTTGGTACTGCTGGTGAGTTTTACAAGGGCATTATTTCCTCGCTTGTTTATTCTTCTTCTTTGACTTATTTGTTGGTTTGGTCCAAAAAGGGCCAGGATTGTCATTGCTTTGAAATGCACATGCCTAGGGGAACCAATTGGTCTGTTTGAAATATGGTGCCGGAGGAGAACTTTGTGCATACCCTGGATGACCAAAAAAAAAGACAAACAAGGGGGTCCTAGATCAAATCAAGCCTGAGCTATATCTCTAGGCCAAAATGTTGAAAGGGAGGCTGTCCTGCTTTGGGCACTTCCTGAGAAGGCAGGATTTTCTGGAAAAGACTGTAATGCTGGGGACCGTGGAAGGAAGCAGGAAAAGAGGAAGACCCAAGATGAGATCGCCTGACTCCCTGAAAGAAACCACGATCTTGAGTCCTGTTGTCAAGTGCACTGAAATGCAAGCCACTTACAAACACACCCAAATGCACACAATCTCCAATTCAGCCCGTTTTGTCCAGCGGCTGCAACGCAATCCAGCAGGTTATCTTTTTAAAAAAATGTTATTTGACTTATGTATTCCACTTCTTTCCTGTCTGCCTCCCACGAAGGGGATGCAGGAAGGGCTAAATCAATCATGCTCCATCTCGGCTTTGTAGGATTGCGTCTGGGCTCTGATGGGACCTTTTGCCCCCCACCCCACCCTGCATGCATCAGCTTTCCGGCCCTTCTGAGGATCCCTCGCATCCACAACGGAGGATGAGAAGGGTTCAGCTCGTCTTGGGAGTTTGTCTATGGGGTACCCCACCACCACCACTAAAGAGCTCTGGGAGCATCCTTTGGGCGATGATGCCCAGAGAGGTTGGCCTGTCGCCTCTTGCATCCAAAGAGCCCTCCTGGAAGCCAGCATCTTTGGTGTGACATCATCCTTCCTCAGCCCACTGAGGCAAATCCTTCTTCCTAAGGAGAGGCAGCCCAATCCGCGGGCCCGAGGAGCGCAGCCAATCGGCTGGCTCGGAGATGATGTCATGGGGAGAGTTTGGCATCCTGGAGGATGCTCAGCGCCTCTGTGAGCATCTTTCCCTGGAAGGAGGCGAGCCGGAGAGCTTGGGAGCGGCTGGAGGGGGCGACGGGCTTAGAAAGGGGTGAGTAGCCAGCAGCTTAGAGCCCCCCCCACCTACCTCTGGCCAGGGGCTGGGAAAGGCCAGGTAAAGAGAAGAAAAATCGCCTTTTTGGGGGTGGGTCGGTGGGTGGGTGAGCCGAAGGATGGAGGAGCAGAGGATGGACTGTCCGAAGGAGGAGGAAAGAGCTGGGGGTCCAGAAGGCAAGGAGGGGCAGGATTCTGGCACCCCACTGCTTCTCCATCCTTCCTCAGGACTTCTGCCTCCCATTCCGAAGGAAGGTCTCTGGGCCTGCCACCGCCTGTTTGATCTCCAACACCCTGGCTCCCGCTTCGAATCAAGTTATGTTATTCTTTGTTTCCCAGAAGGGCCGCTGCGGGGGCTTGGCGGAGTGAATCCGGCCAAGAATTCTGTGACACCCTAAAGATGGACCCATTTGTGTTGGCCATCAGGTCGTCACCGGCTGGAGCCCCTCGGATGGGAGGGAGGGGACTCAAGTCCACGGAAGCTGGGGGGTCCCTCCCTCTGTTTTTGGCTCCCATCATTTAAGGGTTTTAAGGGGACTCAAGTCCACGGAAGCTGGGGGGGTCCCTCCCTCTGTTTTTGGCCCCCATCATTTAAAGGTTTTATCTCTCTCTGTGTATGTGTGTGTAAGAAAAAAAGAGGGACCTGCTTGTTCTTATTGAACTGCTCTCTCTGTGTGTGTGTGTTTATGTGTGTAAGAAAAAAGAGGGACCTGCCCGTTCTCATTGAACCTAGACCCTTTGCAAGGGGTGGGGTGAGAACCTGGAGGCAAGACACTCCTTTAAAGCCACCATCCTGTTGCTCGCACCAATGCGAGGAGACCCCGTGGATGCCCATGGGATTGATTGAACTCTTGATTTACCCTTAAGCAATGGATTCAGAGGATCTGTTCTTCGTCTTCATGATACCGGCCCAAATCTTTAAGGTGTCCTAAGACTCTTGTCATTGTTCATTCTGCTCCTGATCGATCCTTTTCTTTATGCCACCAAGGTAAGGCAGGGAGCATCCTGCCCGCTAACTTTCTCTCTGCTATTATTATTTTTTTCACCCACTCTCTACCTACTTTTCCCTTCCATCATTTAAGGTTGGTTTTTTTTGTTTGTTTGGTGCACTGGAAGAAAAGAAATCCGAGGTCCAGTTGACGGTCCCTGGACAAGTCGTTTTGCATGAGGATGGGGCATGGAGGCAGGACATGAGTCTGTCTGTATGTCTCTCTATCTCTCTTGGCTCCACCTTCTAAATCTGCAAGGAAAGCCTCCACAGTGTAGAAACATCCCGGAAGCTTAATTCAATGGCCTGAAATATCTCAGATCACTTTTTCTTCCAACTCCCACTGCCAAGTTTTCAAAGTTCCGGACCCTTGTAAGATAGGGCTGTAGGTTAGTGGATGACACCCAGTAAGATGTGTTTGCTAGATGGATGGACTCAGATTCAGGAGGCCTGGGTAAAGGAATCTTTGCTCAACCATGGAAGTTCATTGGGGGCGTGGAACTGGTAGAACCATTCCTTAAATACCTCACTTACCTCGAAAGTTAGGACTCCTATATGTTGATTCCGACTTGATGGCACACATCATATCTTTTCCCTCATTGGCATTGCTTGCACAGATTGCAGAATTCTGCAATCTCGACTCAAAATATGGACGGTCAGGATTCAGAATTTTGGAGTGGAGGGGTGGTAGCAATAAGGATAGCTGTCTCCGAGGCACAAATTCCTAACAATTGGTACCAAATCAGTCCTGCCAACTTTCCGAGACCTTCTCCGGCTGTGCCCGTGTTTCAGACGGACGATCTGGCCCACATCACGGTCGTCCTCCCAGCTTATAACCAGAGGATTTCATTTTGGGTGTTATTTGACCCACAAAACTACTCCTGCTGGTTTACAGAACCAAGAAGTCTTTCTTCTTGTCTGTATTTTTACCTGTTGCTCTCACGGGCCAAATGCAGGACAGCCCCAGCTCCGTTTTTACACCGAGCCTTTCGTTTGTCATTTTATTTTTAAGCACGTGTAAGGAGATGGTTTGTAGCGGCAATCCCAGAAGGCTCGGAATTTAGCTCCCGAACGATCTATTTCCATCCTCGTGGTTCGTCAGCAATCAGGACGGCATGCCGAAGAGCATGGCCAAAGCCCCCCTCCTTCAGGTCAAAAATAAAAATTTGCCACCTCCGTGGTTGCCTGTATGTCCCTCCTGGGCTTCAAATGCTTTGAAAGACATTCTGCGCATGGGTTTTTCATGCCTGCCACTCCACCCAAGTGGGGAACCACTTGATATCTTTAAAAATCACCAAGAAATCCTGTTATAGTTACAGGGAAGACTTAGGTGATTTTTTTTGCTGACAGGAAGCAGGGAAGCATAACAGGTGGACGACGGGTTCTTCCTACCCCAGAATTTTCTTCCGGTGTGGTGCTGAAGCCACAGTGGAGTTTGGGGTGGGAGAGCCGCCTTCTTTGGGTTGTTTCCACTGTTCTGGGGTGTGCAAAATGTGGCCGGCTGGCTGCATGAGGCCCCTGGGGTCTTCCGGGTACCCACAAGACCCCCCCACTACCTACACCCTGAAATAAGTTTTCAAAAGATCCAATGGAAGGTAATGGAAACCTGGCTTTCTTTCATTTCCCCCCTCCTAGCCACTCTTTGGAGCCTTGCATGGATACCAAAATAAGTGAAAGAGAGAGAGAGACCCATTCCAAAATCCAGCCTTGAAAAGGTGGGAACAGGGGATACACCAAGCAATTGAAAAAGTCAGAAATTTGAATGATTCCAGGGATCTCTCTCTATCTGTCTCTCTCTCACACACACACAGACACACATGTGCAAACCCGAGCTCTATATGCTGCTGGAAGCAGATATTCTGCAACTTAATAATGGGAGGAGATGATTTTTTTTTTTTTGCCATCTCCCTTAGTCTGCCAGCCAAAGATGGAGGCTGACCCCACCCCACCTCCTCGGCCACCTTCATGTTAAGTGTATGAAGTGAGTGAGGGACTGCTTTTCTTGTGTGCGGTGGTTGCTGAAGGCGCAGGCAAGCCGTGCCTTCTCGTTTCATCGTGGGGGTGGGGTGGGGTGACTTTCCTGTTTTCTGGGCCTCCCGGGTGTCCCGGGAAATGAGGTTCTTGGAAGCGGCATGTGGGGAGGCAGACAGAGAAATCAATGCACGAAGGGGGGGAGGCAACACTCTGCAGGGAGACGATGCTTGTCCATCGTTCCAAGCATGGACATTCCCTGTGCCTTCTTTTCTGTGGAAGGTCTAGCACCTTGCCTGCTTGCCCGCATGACCTCCTTCCCTCCTCCCTGCCTGTTTTCATCCGAATGATCTCATCTTATATTATCCAGAGCTGTGGTTCCCTCCCTCCCTCCCTCCCTCCGTTATTTATTATGCACCACAGCATCCTTGGTGAAACCGCTGGCAGGAAAGCAGCTGCATCTCTCTCACTTCTGCTTCATTTGGTCCATCAGCCTCCCAGCCTACTTGTCTCTCCCCCCCCGGGTTTTCTTAAGGGTACCCCCCCAACAGACACACACTTGGCACCCGAGAAGACTAGGCTGTCATTTGGAAGGAGAAAGAGAAGGATCTCGGGGAGATCTTTATAGAGTCAAGGGGAAGCGAGCGCCAGCAAAGACCGAAGTGAAACCGGGGAAGTGTTCACTACAAAGGAAATCGTGCCCGCCTGCCGGCCTGTGGCACTCCTGGAATGGCTGGGAAAGAGGGCACCTTTGTGGGTTTTTTAAAAATATATATATATCAAGGCTTGGAGGTTTAATGCAGGGGCAAAAGGCTGAAGGAGGGGTTTCCTAAGCATTCCAGGAAGGAAGAGGCAGTGAGAGGCAGAGCAGGAACGGGAATGAAGGAAGGGTGGACGCTGTGCCGTAACAGAGTGAAGTGGGATTAAAAGATCACCCCAAGAGCATGTGCAGAGTGCCCCAGTGGCCGCCACAGAGAAAACCAGCCCTGCTCCAGATTCTTCCGACTGAGCAGCAGGCTTGCATGCTTTTCCCTCTTTGAAGCAGAGCGCCCAAGATGGCTAATTAAAGGAAATAATTAAAAGTGTGTTTTAAGCACATGCATGCACGCCCAGTGTTTGAACTGCCGTTCTTCAATGATGGGGCACATGACATAACCATGAAGAAGGACCCTCCCTTTTCTCAGAAAATCCTATCTCCCCTAGTTTTTGGGAGCAAGTGAGTTTGGAGGGAGATCCCGCTGGCGTGGAGTAGCGGTTAGAGGGGATGGACTGCTAGGAGACGAGAGATCTATGCTCAGATCTCCACTCATCCATAAAACTGGGTAGGCAGTCCTGGGCCAGCCACTCACAGAGGGTTGTTGTCATGAAAAGTAGCGGGGGGTGGCAAAGAAAGCAGGGAATCGAAATGTAGGCCAATATTCTATTGCAACTGCAGGACGGGAAAGAGCAGTCGTAAATGGCACACATACTCTGGGAAGATGGGTGGCACTCATGGCAGCAGAGTGGTGTATCCGCTCAGGGGTTGGATCTGAACTTTACAGGAAGGGCCGCTCCAAGATGCAGAACCTTGTCTCCCAAATGGCCCTGTAGAAGTTCAGGATGCCAGCCTGATTAGATCCATTGACGCTGAAGCCACCCAACACGACCACATGCGCTCCCTTGCAGGTGGTCTGCCATGCCTTCGGTCACACCCTGGTCGGACCACCCATGGCGTGACTAGGTTGCAGGCCAGACAGCTTGAAAGCAGCAAAAGGCCTCTGATGCAACGGCCCGTAACGGGCGCAGGATCCATTGCCAGGATATCCCCAGGTGGCAGAAGGTCCTGCCACTTGTAGCTTGAGTTGTGCCCTTTGTCCATGTTGTTGAGGGCAAGTTATTTTTCCAAGCCCTGCAGAATCTCCTTATCCCCAGGTGGCAGAAGGTCCTGCCACTCGTAGCTTGAGTTGTGCCCCTTGTCCGTGTTGTCGAGGGCAAGCCCAGGGCTTGGAAAAATTATTTTTCCAAGCCCTGCAGAATCTCCCGGTGGAGCTCTTTCTGATGCAGAAAGCAGACGGGAAATGGACACAAACGTCCATGTCACCCATCTCTGGGGGTGTTGGCAAGGCTTTGGTCTCAAGTCCCAAGGGCCACGTCTGAGTGCCTGCTAAAAACACGTGTGTCGTCCCCCCACACCCCAATAAAGGAGAGGGGCGGGTGGGTTCTGAATTGTGAGTCGAGCCTAAATCATTGGAAGGGTGGGGTGGGTGGAAATCCAGAATTTAGTCCAAACCGAGCCACCGGTGGGACTTAAGAGCGACTCGACAGCCACTCCTGCAGCTGGGGTCCCCATCCCTGCCTCTCTTTCCCTCCACCGCACTTATTGGCCGATAAAGGGCACAACGTCCCCCCCCCACAAGAAGCCTTTGTAAGAATGGATATCATGCTTCCTCCTCCCTCCTTCCCTTCCCACCGCCATGCGCTCCCTTTGCCAGCCAGGAAGTTTCTCCGCAGCGGCCGTGCGCCAGGTTTTATGTAACCAAGGAGTGGGGAAGGGCCTCCTGGGTTGACCGGGGCTGTGGCGGCAGAGATGGGGAGCCTCTCCTGCCCGCCCCGGACAGTGGCATCGATGGATTCCAGTGGCCTCTTGAAACACACACACACTCGCAGATCTTAGAGCAAGGATTCCTTACAACATCGCCGCCCAGGACCCACCCTTTGTAGCATGAACATCTTATGGAAAAGCAAAGGTGGAGAGAGAGAGAGAGAGAGAAAATGAGAAAGAGAGAACGAGAAAAATAGAGAGAACGAGAAAGAGAGAGAGAGAGAGACACCAGGGTATGAGTAGCAGCTAAGAACCTCCAGTGCTTCTGCCGGTCTTCCAAGATGCCAGCATAAAGCACATCACAACAACTCCGTTGCCTTAGAAAGGGTCAGGATTCTTGATATTTCACTGCCGGCTAGACATAAATTTTCTTCCCCGTGGACCTCCTGAATTAAGGAGGGGGACTCAAGTTGTGGGACTGGTTGTTAAGTCAGGCTTAATTCGCACCCGTGACTCAACTCCGACTCAACTTGGTGTTTTTCCCCCCTCCCTCCAATTATTGGACTCGACTCGTGACTCAGAATACACCCACCTCCTCCTTTTTTTTATGGGAGGAAAAAAAAGCTTGTTTTTCATAGGGACTCGGGCAGGGGTCTCGGGACTTGGTTTCAAAGATCCAGACTCAAATTTGGGACTCAGACCACCCGAAGACTTGCCAGCATCCCTCTCCGGGGCGCCCTGCTCTGCTTCTTTCATGCTTTTATGACAGTTTCTTATTTTGCTTGTTATTTCTTGTGTTTTACGTTGTTAACTGCCCAGAATACATAGTGTTGTGGCACTACCAGAGTGGTTAATTAATTCATTAATTTGTGGCACGGGACATCAGAATTCCACACAGGCAAGTTGCATTAGAGACACACGCACACACACCCCAAAATTACACACTATAAGTACATGAAGATAGCAAATGCATGGAACCTCCAGGTTCAGTGGCAGTCTTCTGACACTTCCTGGGAGACAAAGGGAAAAAAAGGGGGGGGTTGGTTGCCTTCCATCCCTTCTTGTGGGCTTTCTGGAAGCATCTGTCTGGAAATGGGAAGGAAGGAAGGAAGGAAGGAAGAGGCGTTAGCCGAGCTCAGCCCAGTGGCTCTGGGTTCAAGGAGCCCAAAGAAGAGGGGAGGGCCTCCCGGTGAAGTTCATTCTCCAGCCTTTCTTGGAAGACCCTTTCTGCACGCGAGAGTCAACAGGTGTTGTTCTGATGCTGTGGCACAGGGCGCTCGCATTTGTAGGCGCCCGTTTCCCCCGAAAAGGGTGTGTGCCCCGCAGTCACCTTACTCTGCCTTTTTCCTTGTTTCTACAGTTGCCAAGCTTCTGCCACACCTTCTCCATCCGCTGGAACTGCCACCCGATCCGTAGAAGGGCAGGAAAAATAAAGGGCACCTCATCATGACCCTGGCAGGTATGGACCCCCCCCCCCGCCGCACATACTCTCACGCTTTCATCATCTGGCAGAGCACGAAGGGATCAAATCCGACTCTTGTCCGCTTGGTTTAGCGTGGAACATCCAGACCTCTGTCAGCTGTACAGGATCCTGTCCGTACGGTTTTAGTCTCGGTTCTCTTTTTCTTCTTCTTCTTTCGGGAACCTGTCCTTTCATTTGGTGCAGGAGGTGTGAGTCACACGATAATTCTGTGAGGATGATTCAACAGGATGGTTTCCTTGAGCGCTACAGCTTGGAAAAGCAGTCAGGGTGGAGGGCTCACTGATTCAGCGAGTTCAACCCAGGGGTGGTGGGGAAAGGAACTTTTTCAAGCTCGGGGGCACTAGTGCTAGGGAGCTTGACCTGGAGACCGAGCACCTGTGTGTGTTTCACATAAGAACACAGCATGTGCAGTTCGGATCCCCAAACGGTCCAGGAATTCCTCCCCCCCCCAAGCAGAATTCTGGGAGATCCAGCCTGCAAACTCATACCTGCCGACACCTTCGTTTCACTCACCTGGAGACAAGCACAGGCTTCCTTCTAGGCCTTCGCTTCCGGTCGCAATGCATCCTGGGGGATGTAGTCTCAATGCCCTTTCTGCTGTATGGGGGGTGCATCCTAGAGATCCACCACTCCCAGAAAGCATCGGGGCAGGAATTGAAGACCTAGGAGGAAGGCTCAGCCTTTCTCCAGGTGAGTGAAATAAAGGTGTTGGCAGGTGTGTGTTTGTGGGATGAAACTTAGGGTTGGGGGTGGAATTCTTGGAGAATTCTGGGAAAGGATCCTCACCCCTCCAGCATCCGAGGTCTCTAGTTTTATGGGCCAGACACAGGCGACTTCAGGGTATAGTCAAGGATTTGGCGCTATTGGATTGCAATGAATTCAGCTACCAAATAAAATTGGACATTTGCTAATGCAAGTGGGCAATTTAACTGGATAGGTTTTTAAAAAGAAATCACTTCATCGTCATCTTAGAACTGCAGTTGGAAGGGACCTATGGATCACTGAGTGATCACCCCTGTCAAGGACGCCCCGTGGGGGAATCGAACTCCCCAACCTCTGGCTCTCCAACTAGGTACTGACCTTCTCCTTCTGGCAGAATGTTTCCTCTAACCACAATTAATTAATTAATATTAGCATTAACCAGGGCAGGGGAAATTCACGCAACAAGGAACCTGTTGCCAGGTGACAGGGGTAGCAGTTGAGCAGCAGCAGTGAATAACAAAAGAGACGAGCAAGGGCAAAAATGCGAAAGGGCTTTTTCGTCCTGCACAAGTGAGGGTCCTGGGGATTTGACTGAGCCAAAAGGGGAGAGAGCTCAGCCGAGCTGCCAGAGAAGTCAAAAGCTGTGTCCCTATGGAAAACCTAGACCCGATGTGAACGGGGTCCCTGCGATGCCCGCCCGCTCTGTTCCATGGAACAGGGGGACCTGTTTGAGCCAAGGTTGTTTTCCTGGGAAGGCTTGCTTTTAGTTCCTGCCATTTCGCTGCCGTTCAAAACAATTTCGTGGGGATACAGCTACAGGAATAAGGTCAAACGGGTGGCGTCCATATGCTCACCAGGGACTCTTAAGAGCCTCTTTCCCCCTTCCCCTGTTCCACCCTGTCATCTTCCATTAGGCGAGCAGGGAATGAAAGGAAGTCCTTGGAAATGGTCCCTCGGATAAGGATCCTTGGTGTCGTTGCTAGGTAACGGCTGAAGATTTTCCTTTTTTTTTTTTTTCTTTTTCTCTCCCATCCTGAAGCAGTTCTCTTGATGGCAGGATTAGCTCTGCAGAGACAGAAAGAGAGAGAAGGGATTCTGGAATCTTCCAAAGCAGAGTTCCAGCAGCAAACGAGATGCTTAATTAGCAAGGCAGAGGGCTAGACCAGGAGAGGCGCATTGCCTTCAAGTTGGGACTTGTGGAGTTTAATGAGAAGCCAGTTTGGAGCACCGTCGAGAAAAGGGAGCTATACAAGGTTTGCCTCTCCCAGCAAAGGGCTTTCTTATGTTCCCAGTGCTACACACGCACCGCCTCTCCTTTACAGAAATAGTTACTTTTCTAGACTGCTGGAATCTCTCCATCAGTAAAGGTCCCTGACGGTGCTCGCTGGAAGATTCTAAGCGTTGTAATAATAATAATAAAAAAGAGATAACCCCAAAAAACCAGTGACTCCCCCAAACTTTCATCTTTTGGTACTGAGTTTGGAGTGTCTGGAGGCTGAAACCGACCAAGCAAGGAGCTTTGCAAGTGGAAGCGGAGATGACATAAGAACTAAAGGAGGTACAACGATCCTACGGCACTTTTGCTAACTTCTTAATTTGTAAATCAGTGGCTTTGGTCTCCTGTGATGGAACAGGGGACTCGCTGTTTGGGCAAAGGGTTGCGCACACATGGCAGGGTGAAGAGGTTGACCCTGCAGCAATATTTAGTTAGCTAGCTAGTTGGTTGGTTGTTTAGATAGTGATTGGATTTCTATCCCACCCTTCTTCTGACAAAGCACAGCTAATGGCTGGGTAGCTAATGGTGACAAAGAGAAAGAGCCACCCACCCATCAGCACACATGTTGTTGTTGTTTAGTCATTCAGTCGTGTCCGACTCTTCGTGACCCCATGGACCAGAGCACGCCAGGCCCTCCTATCTTCTACTGCCTCCCGGAGTTGGGTCAAATTCATGTTGGTTGCTTCGATGACACTGTCCAACTGTCTCGTCCTCTGTCATCCCCTTCTCCTCTTGCCTTCACACTTTCCCAACATCAAGATTTTTTCCAAGGAGTCTTCTCTTCTCATGAGATGGCCAAAGTACTGGAGCCTCAGCTTCAGGATCTGTCCTTCCAGTGAGCACTCAGGGTTGATTTCCTTCAGAACGGATAGGTTTCTTCTCCTTGCAGTCCAGGGGATTCTCAAGAGCCTCCTCCAGCACCACAATTCAAAAGCATCAGTTCTTCGGCGGTCAGCTTTCTTTATGGTCCAGCTCTCACTTCCATACATTGCTCCTGGAAAAAAATAGCTTTGACAATGCGGACCGTGGAAAAACGATAGCTTTGACGATGCGGACCAGGAGGCGCTCTTCTGCAGTGAAGCATGCGGGTGGGTGGCTCCTTTCCTGATGGTGCATTGACCACCTTTGGTAATTTTTCTCTCTCTCCTAAACAGCTTACAAAGAGAAGGTGAAGGAACTTCCTCTGGTGTCCCTCTTCTGCTCCTGCTTCCTCTCAGATCCTTTAAATAAACCGTCTTATAAATATGAAGGTGGGTGCAATGTGGAATGATTGACTCGAAGGCGGCTGGGGTGGTCGTGGCCGAGTCCAATTTGTCCGTCTGTTTCTGTCTGCAAACGTTTTCGCGCCTGATTGGTAGCTCTGTTTGCGAGTTTTTGTCTCTCCCCCTCTTTCTCTAGGGCTTTAGAGAGTTCGCTTTGGGGTAATGCATTATATATGATAATAGATAATTAATCTGCTTGATATGCATTATGCACGAGAAGCTTGCAGACAACACCACAAAAAGAAGCAGAGGAGACCAGGTTGGCGTCGACTTTAAGAATGGCTATTGCACTTTGGTACCCAGCGTGGTGTAGGTCGGGGGCTGAGGGATTGACAAAGACTCTGGAGATCTGAGTTCAAATCTCCACTCAGCCATGGAAACTCACTGGGGGAGGGGTGGAGCTGGTAAAACCACTCTTTAAATATCTCATTTACCTTGAAAGTCCTGTTAGGGTCGCCTTAAGTTGGTGTGGATTTCCCCCAACCCACCCCAAGCCAATGATGGGAGGCGTAACGCCAGCCAATGGGTCGTCTCTTTCCAGAGAAGTCTCCTGAGTCAAGGTGCCTGTGCTCGCCTGCCTATTTGCTCCAGAGGGCATCGTGAGGCTGAGTGCAGGTACCCTGGCTTCTCTCTGCCTTTTTGGTGTTTCAAGGATGGACACGGACAGCACATCTCCAAACACCTTTTCACAGAGCCACTGAATCCTGCCACCAGCTGAAAAATGCCAAAAAACTTGAAGCAAGTTCAGAGGAAGGCGACAGGGACCATCAGGGGACTAGAAACCAAACCCTCTTGAGGAAAGGCTGAAAGAACTGGGCAGGTTTAGCCTTGAGAAAATAAGACAGAGGGACTATAGGATAGCAGCTTCCAGTGACATGAAAGGTAGTCATCTAGAGGAGAAGCAAGATCTGTTCTTCACCATCCTAGACAGCAGGACATATAATCAGGGGCTCAAGCTACAGGAAGAACTTCTTAACTGTTAGAGCGGTACGACAGTGGAACCTGTGAGCTCAGAGGGAGTCGGGGAGCGCTCCAACGCTGTGGAGGCCTTCAAGAGAAGACTGGCAAACCCTCTGTCAGATCTCCTTTGATTTGCATTGGGCAGGGTTTGGACTCGGTGGCCTTAGAGGCAGGACCCCTCCCACTCAATTACAGTGGTGCCTCGCAAAACGATGTTAATTCGTTCCATGAAAAACATCGTCTTGTGAAATGCAGTTCCCCATTGGAATGCATTGAAATCTATTTAATGCGTTCCAATGGGGGAAAAATCGTCTTGCGAAAATCGTCCATAGAAAACATTGTCTTGCGAAACGTGGTTCCCCATTGGAATGCATTGAAATCTATTTAATGCGTTCCAATGGGGGAAAAATCGTCTTGCGAAAATCGTCCATAGAAAACATTGTCTTGCGAAACGTGGTTCCCCATTGGAATGCATTGAAATCTATTTAATGCGTTCCAATGGGGGAAAAATCGTCTTGCGAAAATCATCCATAGAAAACATCGTTTTGCGAAACGCCACAGCGATTGCAAAAACCAATCATCTTGCGGATTAATCGTCCCATGAGGCAATCATCTTGCAAGGCACCACTGTATTCTGTAATTCTAAGGAGCAGGAATCAGCATCCAGGGTTTAGAGCCAGGTCACATCTGGAGACCCGGGGTAGCAAAGGGGTTCCCGGAGATTCCCGCTTTGAAACCGGCAAGTAGCTGCTGACATCGGTGACATATTATCTCTGTATCCCAACGTTCATCAATGCCGCCTGGTTCCCTGGGCTTATTTTATGTATAGAGTAGCCCGCTCCCTCTCCTTGTCCGCGTCATTGCTCCCCAGTGCCGTCCCACCTCCTCATCTCTTCTTCCCTCCTCCTCTCTTTCAGTAGACACCGTGGACCTCACCTGGTGCGTCATTTCCGACATGGAAGTCATTGAGCTCAATAAGCGCACCTCGGGCCAGTCGTTCGAGGTGATCCTCAAGCCGCCTTCCTTCGATGGGGTCCCAGAGTTCAACGCCTCCCTGCCCCGACGGCGCGACCCTTCCCTGGAGGAGATCCAGAAGAAGCTGGAAGCTGCCGAGGAGCGGCGCAAGGTGAGCGCTTGGTTCTGCGGCATCGGGCGGGCGGGCGGAGGGGACGGGGCCAGCCCCGAGTCACCCAGTCATGGTGTTTTGTGGCTGCGTGGAGCACATGGGACCACAGTCACGCACTAGTGATAAAGCCTTTATTATTCAAGCCAGCTGAAAATTATGGGATGGCTCCCAGGCCCTTTGATTAATCCACTCTTGGGGATCTTAGTCTTCAGGCATAGTAACACAGCTTGGTATTGGCCAGTTCTGGTAAATGCATGTGAAAATATTTTTTTCTGCACTCTATATATAGTGCATATGTAAAGGTAAAGGTAAAGGTTCCCCCAGGCCCTTTGATTAATCCACTCTTGGGGATCTTAGTCTTCAGGCATAGTAACACAGCTTGGTATTGGCCAGTTCTGGTAAATGCATGTGAAAATATTTTTTTCTGCACTCTATATATAGTGCATATGTAGAATTCACTATTATCCACGGTTTTCAGTATCCACAGGGAGCTTGGAATCCATCCTATGGCGGTCCTATTACATTTCATATTTCTGATTATATATGGTTCTCTCTTTTTTTGTGGGTTTAGTATCAGGAAGCAGAACTCCTTAAGCACCTGGCAGGCAAGCGAGAGCACGAGAGGGAAGTCATCCAGAAAGCCATCGAAGAGAACAACAACTTCATCAAGATGGCCAAGGAGAAACTGATGCAGAAGATGGAATCTAACAAGGAGAACCGAGAGGCACATTTAGCCGCCATGTTGGAACGCCTGCAGGAAAAGGTGAGCCTTCCCCTGTGCGGGAGGATGAGGCAGAGACGGGGCTGGGCAACAGGAGAGGAGACTCTCAGAGGTTGGGTGAGGGGGACTGTGGAGTGAAAAAGTTACGTTCTAAGGTCTGTACAGGTAAGGTGGGCTAGAACAGGTGGAATGAGAGAATCCCTTATTCATATGGGGGACACTTGGCTTGGTAATGGGATGAGCGAGAAGGAGCTTGGAATCATCGTAGATCACAAGCTGAATATGAGCAAACCGTGTGATGTGGCTGCAAAAAGGACCAATGTGATTTTAGGCAGCATTAAGAGAAGTATAGTTTCCAAATCCTGCAAGGTGCTAGTCCGCTTCTATTTGGCACTGGTGAGGCCTCCCCTTGAGTCTTGTGTCCAGTTCTGGACGCCATGCTTCAAGAAGGGGGCTGACCAATTGGAACCATGTGATTTTAGGCAGCATTAAGAGAAGTATAGTTTCCAAATCCTGCGAGGTGCTGGTCCCCCTCTATTCGGCACTGGTGAGGCCTCCCCTTGAGTCTTGTGTCCAGTTCTGGACGCCACGCTTCAAGAAGGGGGCTTACCAATTGGAACCAAGTTCAAAGGAGGGCGACAAGGATGATGATCAGGGAACTAGAAACCAAGGATCAAGGGGGTGCAGAAGAAGACCGAGGGAAGACTGAGAGCACTCTTTAAACTATTCTAAGCTCTGGTCTAATCCCTGTTTTGCAGCGATGGGCCAGTTTCTCATTTTGAGGCTAAGCATCAGCCTCTCAGCCACTTTGGGTCCTTTTAAGGAGAGAAAATATATAAATGTAAGAGACTGAGAGCACTCTTTAAACTATTCTAAGCTCTGGTCTAATCCCTGTTTTGCAGCGATGGGTCAGTTTCTCATTTTGAGGCAGTTTCTCATCAGCCTCTCGGCCACTTTGGGTCCTTTTAAGGAGAGAAAATATTTCAAATAAATGTAAAACAAGCGGTTGCCTTCCTTCTCAGGACAAACATGCCGAGGAGGTCCGGAAGAACAAGGAGCTGAAAGAAGAGGCCTCGAGGTAAAGCAGGGGGTCCCCTCCCCAGCACCTAATCATTTGGACTGAGAGCTCCCAGGAAAATATGGTATGGCGGATGACAGTCATGAAGACCGTCCGCCGCCTTCTCGGTGCGAAAAAGTGTTAACGGGCGAATTTGGACGGACCTCTGCTTTCGTTGTTTGTGAATGTTAAAAGAATTGACCGCTGAAGCCCTGGCGTGCGTTTCAGGGAGGGAGGGGGACCCTGGTGGAGGAAGAGTGTGGATTTGGGAAGGGGGGGAGGGAAGGATGGATTTGACCGGCTGCCGACACCCAGCGCCCAAGTTCTGTCCCCTTTCCATGCTGTTGGCATCCAGTATGGAAGCCGGGCGAGAGGAATGGTGTGTTACACGGGAGGGAAGGTGTCGCAGGGTCCGGGGGGAGGGCAGGGGTGGGGGTACAGAGAGAAGAAGCAGGCAAATGAAATTTGGTGACGGGCCAGGAAGTGAGCAGAGGGAGCCAGGTCACCTTCTTCGGGGTGAATGTTGTCTCGTGCATTTGTCCGTGAATGTCGTCGATCACCCACCTGGAAAGAAACCGCCCACCTCACGCCTGCGTTTCTTTCCATAAAACCGCATCTCATCTTTTCCATCCATCCCCTGGTAGCCCTGGGGGTGGCTTGACCCGAATGTGGCAGCTGTGTCCACTGTGATTTCGGAGACCCGCAGCCCCGTTTTTTACTACTCATCTGTAAATAAAAAAAACTCTTGCCAGAGCTACGCCGTGGTCGTCCGCATGTCCTCCGTGGGCTTGCTTGAACGCGGAGCCCACAGTAAACAAGAAAACGGATTCAGGCCTTTTCATGGGAATTTGGGAGTGGTGCCCTTTTAGACACAGCTCTCTCATCCGGAGAGTTTCCAAACTTTTCCATTTCTTCAGCCTTTGCCCGCAAGGCAGGTCAAGCGAGAGAAAGCTGAGAAAGACCATGCTCTTTAAAACCTTGCTGTGGTCGTGAGGAAGCATCTCCGGGAGGCGATGAGCCAAAAGCCCAGAATCACCAGGTCGGGCGGTTGTGTTTTAAACCCACTGCATGCCCTCGTCCTTCTTCAGACAACCTCTGTCTCGTTCTGAGGCTTTGGAAAACGTCTGTTTTAGGTGACAGTTTCCAGAGTTCCCTGTCCAGCTGGGGAATATTTTTTTAACCCCCCCAAAAGTAACTTTTTCTTTGTTTCCATCCCTACCCACCCACCTAACATCTCCTTGAGCTTCTAGGTGTCCACTAGCCAGCATGCAGAGGAGGTTGGGCTATGGAACCAATGTTTGGAAAATAGACCGCCATGCATTTTGCAAGAGTCGGAGTCTCGGAAGCAGTGCTAGGGACTATGAGCCACCTCTCCGGCTTCCCAAAGAGCTTGCCACCCCATGGGTCTTTCCCCCCCAGTTGCGCCAGCCCTGACCTCACAGATTGGTGGCCCTCAGACGGTTGGCCAGTGGCACCCATGACTAGCTTTCCATGCTGGGAGGTGTAGCATACTCTGACAGCAGTAATGTTCATGGAGGAGCACCTCTTAGGGTCATGAGATAGAGCGGCTTTGGCAACCTCTTGACCTCTCTCTGTGAGTGAAAGAAAGAAGGCTTCCAAGAAATATTTCAGAATACCAATAATGGTTCCAAAATATGAAACAGGCCAGATATATGTTAGGTGGTCTGTGAGCTTCTGGGTGGCACCCTTCACTGGGCAACACCGGGGTCATGGGGAGGCACTGTCTTTTCATACAGGCTCTGCGCATGTCTTGCACCATGCCACATCTCACAGCTGGGAAAAGTTACTTTGCATGACGTCCACTTCAAAAAAAAAATAGCCTCCAACTTTTCCAACTTCCAATTTAAAAAACAAAACAAAACACCCTAACAATTGTGAAAATGTCAGGATTCCGGGAGTGTTCATCCTGCAACCGGTAACCTTTCCAAGAAAGCATGTTCGTCTCACATTACTTGTTTCAGATTGTTGTGGATTGTGTATGTAGAGGTTTTAAAGGAAGAGGCCTCTGCTTGGTTCGCTCTTATCAGGAAAATGGAAGGAAGGGAAGCCCCAAAGAAGTCGCATTTGAACAGAGCGAAGGGAGGGTTCAGTGGGACACGGGGGGAAACGATTTGCTGCACCTCTTTTGGGGAGTGGGGGTTCAGCCCTCTGGATTTTTCCTTTTGCTTATTAAAACCCGGAGCAGATGTAACATGATTTGCTGCACCTCTTTTGGGGAGTGGGGATTCAGCCCTCCGGATTTTTCCTTTTGCTTATTAAAACCCAGAGCAGATTTAACACCTTTACAAAATTGGAGTCACCCCACTCTCTGCTTCTGGAATTTCCTCCCTAAGTCTGGCAAGCTGAAAGGACGAACAAGGGCTTCTCAGCTGATCTGTAGGCTTGTAAACTTCCTGCTGTAAATCTCTTGTCTTGCAACTGCATCGATTCCGTGCCACCCGGGAATCTTTCTCTCCCGGACATCCGAAGGAGGCATTTAGGCTATTGATTAGTTGAGGTCAGGTCTGAGTGGAAATGATATCTCTGGGGTTGTTAACGATGAGGGTCCTCCATCACATAGCAGCTTGTTCTTGACATGAAAACATTAAACAAGAGGGATGAGCAAGAGGGAGGGAGGAAGGGAGGAAGGAAAGAAGGAAGGAAGGAACCTTTGTACAAGAAGCTGTCTTCTTATTTTCTACACAATGGTTGTAAATAAAACTGCCGACATTTCTTTTCTTTCTGACAGTTCTGGTCAACCGTGTATTTTCTGAGTCTCAGATTCTGTCTCTGTTTGTGTGTTTGTTGGAAGAATTTGCTGCAGCGAAAAGAAAGCAACCGATGTTTAATTCTATTTTGGGATGTGCTCTTTACTTAGGTGATCAAAACACAAAACAGCCTGCTCGTCCGGCTCACAGGAGCTGTCCAGATCAACTTGCAATTGCCATTAACAACACACACCATCACAACACAGCCAAGCCACATGCATGCATACACAGACACAGACACAGAGAGAGAGAGAGAGACACACACACACACACACACACACACTCGCTGTTGCTGAAACTTGCCTTTATTAGGTTGCAGGAATGGGGTACACTGTTAGGTTGGGTGCCTTGTGGCCCCTCAACCCAACGGTCCAAGGGGGAGGGACACACCTTAGTTTCCTTCCCTTTGCTCACTGTCCATCGCTGTGTCCCCGATCCAGTTTCCTAACATTGTCTAGGAAGGCATTTTGAAATCCATCAGCCATCCTCCAACAGAATATTTCTGGAGCACCCGAGCATCTGTCTCCTTCAATGATCTCTCTCTCTGTGGTCCCTCTCTATGGCTGTCGTACCTAATTCTATACTTTCGAAGGGGTGGTATCCGTTCCATCTTGTTATCTTTGCAATCAATGGCTTATTGGTTTTCCTCACGCTAGCCCATCTGAAGACAACAAGACTCAGCCTCCCACAACTGCCAGCCGATATTGGCAGAGTTTGGCTTCTGAGCTCACCTAGACACACAGCTGGAATCCTACGTACCTGCAGCTGGAAAGAATTCCTGCTATTAATTCAATGGGACTGATTTCTCAATAAAATACTGATAGATTCAGACTAAAAGGGAGTCAGGATGAGCAACCAACCCCCTTTGAGCATAGGTGTTAGGTAAGAGTGAGTTCAAATCTCCAGGGCCGGATGCATCCATGAGGACCGAAGGACCTGGACGAAGAAATCTCAGAACCGCTATCCATTCTTTTCTTGAAATCATGGGAAACGGGGGAGGTGCCAGAGGACGGGAGGAGGGCCAATATTGTCCCTATCTTCAAAAACAGCACAAAAAAAGAGGAACCTGGGAACTACAGGCCAGTCAGCCTGACATCCATCCCAGGGAAAATTCTGGAACAGATCGTAAAGCGGTCCTTGTGCAAGCACCTAGAAAACAAGGCAGTAATAAGCAAACACGGCTTTGACAAGAACAAATCCTGCCAAACTAATTAGATCTTGGTTTTTGATCAGGTCACCTCCCAGATAGACAGAGGGACTGCTGTCGACGTAGTATATCTTGACTTCAGCAAAGCTTTTGACCAAGTGCCCCATTAGATCCTGATTAGCAAGCTAACCAGCTGTGGGTTGATCAGGGGGCTGGAAACCAAGCCCTATAAGGAGGAAAGGCTGAAAGAATTGGGCACATCTAGCTTTGAGAAAAGAAGACTGAGGAATGATAGGATAGCACTCTTCAAATATGTAAAAGGCTGCCCTCCAGAGGAGGGGCAAGATCTGTTCTCCATCATCCCAGGCTGCAGGACACGTAGTAATGGGCTCAAGTTAAAGGAAGCCAGATTTTGGTTGAATATCAGGAAAAAACTTCCTAGCTGTTTGAGCAGTATGACAACAGAACCCATGACCTTGGGAGGGGGTGAGCGCTCCAACACTGGAGGAATTTGAGAGAAAACAGGACGACCCGCTTTGATTTGGGTTCCTGCCTTGAGCCAGAAAGCTGGACTCTATGGCCTTATCGGTTCCTTCCAACTCCACGATCCTACGAGTCTATGAGATTCCTAGTTTGGTGTAGTGGATTGAGTGATGGGCCAGGACTCTGGAGAACAGGGTTCGAATCCCTGCTCAGCCCTGGAAACTCACTCCGGGTTGAGGTCGGAACTGCTAAAGCCACTCCTTAAGCATCTCACCTCCCTTGAAAGCCCCATCGGGCGTGCTCTAGATTGGTCCCGACTTGACAGCACAGAACACCCCAGGATTCTGTAGGAACAGAACGATGGAAAACCAGTTTTGGAGGCTATCTATCGTTCCAGGATCTCCCACGGCCACCCTGGCCAGCGTTTAATGGCAGTCAAAAACAGGGAACTCTGTTCTCAGCTAGACTATTTTGATCTCCCCCCATCTTGTCACCTTTCTTTCCCCCTGGCTCCCCTCTTTTCTATCCAGCGCTCAGCTCCCCAAATTGCTGACGATCATTGCTCTCTTGCAGCCTTTGTTAATCCCTACATGAGCACTACTTCCAGATTCCTTGCTGGGAAGCTCAAACCCCCCCTGTGGTCTTTTTTCCCTTGCAGTCCTGAGGGAGGGGGGACTCTTTATGGACTACGACTCCCAGAATCCAATAGCCAGTGCCCATGTTGGCTACAGAATTCTGGGAGATGTAGTTTAAAACCAAATATTCTCTCTTCCTTCTTCTTCTTCATGCCCTTAGCCTTCCAAAGACCACGTTTCTTCCTCCCCAAACCTTGTTGCTCTTCCTCTTCTGCTGCCTCGTAATGTCCTGTTAAGTATTGCAGAATTTTGAATTTTGGTTTTAAAAAACCTCTGCCTGCATAGCAGAAGTGCGGGGACTTACAAAGTAGAACTAGCTTCAAGTCTCTCCAAAGAAGACCAGCTCTTTTTTCTCCTCATCCATGGGTACTTACAGTGACAATAACTCACTCTGAGGCATTAGCGAGAGAGAAAAAAAAAATCAAAGGTTTCATTTACTCACAGTTGAATAGATCAAAAACAGCATATTGTACAAACATGACTGCTTACAACCGCAGCCCCCCCTCGCGCTCTCAGCGCCTGCTTATAGCAGACTCCATTCTCATAACCGCAGTAATTGCACACTAAGGGCTAGCAGCTTGAAAGGGGAGGGGGACAAGCAAAGAGCCGGGGTTCTCTTTGAAATCAGAGGCAAGGAAGAAAAAATTTGTTACTGCTGGATGGATAGACTGTCACCTCAGCCCATAAAAGTCCCTCCCAGCCAAACCTCCTCAAGGGAGCATGCCAAGCTGAAGTCACCCCAACATTAAGTTGGATGAAAGGGCTTCCTTCCGTTCCTCCAGGACACCCCTTTTCAACTTGGCACCCGGCATTGAGTGTCAAAAACATGATCAGGGACTGCATTCCAGGGGTGGGGGAAAGAGTTTGGCCAGAAAAGCCAGAATATTTTCGTTTAAAGTTCTTTCTGCTTAGAAATGGTGGGCCAAACTGGACATTCCACGCGGGCCTGACGTCCTCCTCTTCATGTTCCAGAGAGTTTCCCTCACAGACCTTCAGGTCTGAACCGTCATCCAATGCCGAAGGAGACCCTGTTTCTTCTTGATGATGACTGAGTACGTAAGCAAAGCAAGCGGATCTCCAAACCGGGAGAGCCCCCCACACACACACACACAAAGGACCAGCTGAGACAACCGGATGGCCTTCCTCCTCTTGAGGAGTTCTGTCTTTTGACGACGGGCCACCCATTCATGTGTATTTCGACCCTTAGCTCTGGCAAAAGGCTTTCTGGCCTTTCAGAAAAGGGGGAGAAATAAACCTGTAGAAAGGTCAGCGGAGAGTGTGATGGGGAAAGGGACGTGGCCCTCTGGAGCAGCATAGAGCAGGGGCAGATTCGACTGCAGGGCCCAAGGTTCCCGACCCCTTCCTTAAGCACACCCTTCAAGGTTCAAGCAGCTCCAAAACAACTCAGTCTGTACGTTCAGCCGAAAACCCGGGCAATTTATGCTCCTTGCACTTCCTTTCCCTGCTTCCATGGTTTCCACTATATGAGACTGTAATCTTCCTGATGCTGTGGTTGTCGCTTCCAAGACATGGCCAACCTAGGAACGAGGGATCTCCAAAATCTCCTCTCTTCAACAGCCCTGATCACCTCTTGTTAAACTCAAGCCTGCGGCTTCCTTTAGAGCAGCTCCAAAATCTCCTCTCCTGAACAGCCATCTCCATGATGTCCCGTCCTCAACAGCCCTGCTCAGCTCTTGTTAAATTCAAGCCTGTGGCTTCCTTTAGAGAGTTGGTCCATCTCGTGTCTGGTTCTTCCTCTTCTTCCTGCTGCATTTAACCTCTCCCAGCTTTACTGGGACAGGTTGAAGGCAGCAAGATGTATGGAAGTGAGAGCTGGACCATAAAGAAAGCCGACCGCCGAAGAATTGATGCCTTTGAATTGTGTTGCTGGAGGAGGCTCTCGAGAGTCCCCTGGACTGCAAGGAGATCAAACCTATCCGTTCTGAAGGAAATAAACCCTGAGTGCTCATTGGAAGGACAGATCCTGAAGCTGAGGCTCCAATCCTCTGGCCATCTCATGAGAAGAGAAGACTCCCTGGAAAAGACCCTGATATTGGGAAAGTGTGAAGGCAAGAGGAGAAGGGATTTTGACAGAGGAGGAGATGGCTGGACAGGGTCACCAAAGCGACCAACATGAAATTGACAGACATCTGGGAGGCAGTGGAAGATAGGATGGGCCTGGTGTGCTCTGGTCCATGGGGGTAATGAAGAGTCAGACACGACTTCATGACTAAACAACAACAACAAGCTTTACTGTCTTTTCCAGAGAATTCTGCTTTTTCAGGGTGTGCCCAAAGTAGCCGAGCCTCAGTTTCATCATATATTTTTTGCCCCCAGACATCGTTCGGGCTTGATTTGATCTCGCGCCCACTTGCCCATCTTTCTGGCAGTCCAGGGCATCCTCAAATTTCTCCTTTAGCACCGTTTTTTCAAATGGATCCATCCCCCCCCCCCCCCCACAAACCATTGCTGGATAGCTTTTGGTCTCCGGCGGTGGACCCAGAGGCTGGGAGTCCCTCTCTGTGACTCTTTGACAGGGGCTGGATTCGATGATCCAGGGGGTCTTTTCCACCTCTGCCGTTCTAAGATGATTATTAACTTGATCGGAAATATAAGAGCATGATAGAGCACCCTGGATGTTGTACAATGTCTACCTTGCCATCCAAGCCAACGGCCGCTAGGTGGCAAGAAAACCCAAGAATTGACCCAGTTTTGAGCCGGAGAAAGGAAACCGGTCCCAGTGGCTGTGCTTAAATTTCCAGCATCTGAAGGACGCCAGCTGGCTTTCTATGTGTGCATATTGGTGCAGCAGAGTTACCTCTTGGTTCGTGGTCTCAGACAGAGACATGGTGGGATCAGAGATTGGGAAAGTTACTTTTTTAGACAATGCCTTAGTCAACTTCAGCTTGGGTGTCAAACTATATTTCATAGCTTGCCAAAAGTACTGGGGGAGACCCTGTGGTCTTGTATTGCCCTTTCTGGATGCCAGGTGGTGGTGGTGGGAGGTCAGCTCCCTGGGGGACTCAAAGACCAGCTCTGCTGGTGCCATCAGAAGAATGAGGGGATGATAGGAGAGTGCTTTTCAAAGGCTTGAAAGGCTGTCCTACAGAGGAGGGGCGGGATCTGTTCTCGATCCTCCCGGAGTGCAGGAAATGTAATAATAAGCTCAATAATAGGCTACGGGAAGCCAGATTTCGGCTGAATATCAAGAAAAACTTCTTAATTGTTAGAGCAGTACCACAAGGGAACCCATGACCTCGAGAGGTGGTGATGGCTCCAATCCTGGAGGCCTTCAAGAGAACATGGGACCACCCTCTGTCGGGTCTGCTTTGAACTGCATTCCTGCCTTGAGCAGGGGGTTGGACTGGATGGCCTTATGGGACCCCTTCCAACGCCATGATTCTGTGATTCTATGATGCTGTGCAAGGTGGGATAGGGCCTAATCCTCGGGTATTGGCTTGTTTCATCCTAAGAAACTAAAGGAGCAATGCCTGGTCAGCCTGGAGTTCCTGATTTCTTCATGAAGATGTCACTCATGCAAGACTGTGGGTGGATGGGTGGATGAGTGCTCCTCCCTTTTCAGCTGTAGTGAATGGGAGTCCTTCTGCGCTCTGATTTAAGGTCAGATTCTGCTCTCATGGAGTGCCGTGGCCGTGACACTGACGGGGTCCCATCTAGAGCCTGGAGGTGGAGGGGCTGTGATTCCTAATAGGCGCAGAACCACCTCCAAGGGTTCTTCTTACAATGCTTATTAGGGGCAGGGAACGCTTCGGACAAATCTGGGAGATGAAGGTTCACAAACTCTAGACAACGTGTCCACAATGGTGAAAATGGCACTCTGGGGGACCTCCGTGAACGCGGAGGGCTCGGATGGCCAGCGGGGCAACCGATCCGCTCTGGGTTTTAGTACCATTCCCAAATTGGCAGGTGCTCATCTGAGGTGCTGATCCCTGATCCCAAACTAGATCCAGGACGACAGGCAGTTCCCTTTGAACTTCGGACTGAAACCGGGAGCGGATTCGCTGCTACTCGCTTCATAGAGAGCGGAGCCCTGATCAAGCCTCCACCCGCTTTTGACACCCCTTCAAAAAGAGGTCTTTTGCTCGCCACGCACAGCCGGGCAGCGGGGGCACCCTTAGTCCTCTTGGGGGGGCTCCCCTCCCCTGAGCTGATGAATGATTTCAGCCCCAGAACTGGAGGGAGAAAAGGCTCCAGCCATTCAGAAAGGCGCCGGGCTCCCAGGACCTGCAGGCAAAGCTCCAAACGGCTCCGACACGGATGCCAATCAGCAGCTCTCCAGAGCTAGCCGAGGTTCGCTCTCCACCATCAGCAGTGTTCCAACAAAGCAGGAGAGCGTCCAGTGGCTGCTTCCAAGAAACCCAGAAGCCCCTGGTTGTCCTGTTTGCAGATTTCCACTTCTCTGTCTAGCACCGATCCAGGAACCCAACGGTGGGGGAAACCGAACGGGGGCTCTCGAACTATGCTAAAGAGTTCATTTTCAGCCGGATTCTGTGCCTTGTCCCCAGGTTCAGTGTGACCTTGTCACTCCCCTAAGAGAGGTCTGGCTTCCTGGATTGATGGATATATACCCCCAAAGGGTCTGATCCTGCGCACCGGACCTCTGAAAATGGGATCTCTTTTCTCCCCCTGCAAGGCACTTCCTGCTTGTCAGAAGTCCTTGAGCTTTCAGGATGAGCCCAGCAGGACCCGGGTTTGAACTGAGCCACAGACAAGACTGTTTCTCAACAGAATCCAACCTCCTTCTACCAAAAACCGTTGCTGTGCACCTCTAGACTCCTATCCTTCCCAAGGCATGCAGAGGGATACATTCAAACCCATTTCAGTAACTCGCTTTTGCAAGCTGTTTTATTCTGGTCTGCAAACGACACCCTGCAGCCAGGAAACCTCAGGGTTAGCCTCTCTCGACCCTCAGGAAGAGTCCATGTTCAGGGAGAACTTCCATCGCCCCTCAATCCAACCCAAGCAGCGTGGTGTGCGGGAGGCGGACAGCCCTGGCCCCCTCAGCCGTCGCTCCTGGCCTCGTCCCTCAGGCAGGTTGGTGGGCAGTGAAGCCCACCTCTTGGCATTGACTGACCACTGGGCCGTCCCCTGATAGCGGAGCCTCCACCTCGGTCAAGAGCGAGACGCCAGAAGGTCCCTTCATGGCGAGAGGTGGGGCCGGAACGTGCGCGGCCGGATCATCATGCTGACCTTCTTGAGGGAGTAATAATCGGTGTCCTTCCAGGTGTACCAAACCACCCCGTCTGGTCCCAGGATCTTCCGGTTTTTCAGAGAGTACCGGCCGCCCTGTGAAGACGAGCAAGAGGTCAACGGTCCAAAGGCGGGGGAACGAGGCACAGAAGCAGCTCCTTCTCAGAAAACCAAGGGGTGAGGTTACCGGGTACAGCCTGGGCAAAGGGGCATCCATGGTTAGAGCAGGGGAAGCCCATTGCCGGCTGCCCCCGGGGCCCCCCAATGCAGCCTCCCTCTCCCTCCTGGCACTCCCATGCTCCCCTCTTTTGACCACAAAACCCCATTCAGATCTCTTGCAGGGACCACTTTCCACATTTCCCCCTTGACCTCTTTTTTTTTTTTTTTAAATGGGGGATGGATTTTTTTCCCAAAATCAGAAGGGGCTTCGGATTGATTCTGGGGGGGAAAATGTTCCCCTTGAAAACTGAAATAATAATGATCGCTTGGCGCCACCAAGACGACTCTGCCTTAGGGTGACCGTTTTCAGGGTTTTCCAGGTAGAGAATCCTCAGAAGTGGTTTCACCCTTCCCTTCTTCCGGGGGTAGCCCTGGGACTATCGTGCAGCTGGCCAGAGGCTACCCAGCCTGGCTTTTCTGAGAGGCCCAGTGGGGAAATAAAACACCTACGGCTCTGCAGGTACCCAACTCACTGAGCTATCCAGCTTTCCATCTCAAACAGGCTGAGCAAACCCAGAAACCCAGCAGAGTTTCTTCGCCCTACTCAGAGGATGTGAAAAATCCCTTTTAATTTAATTTTTTTAAAAAAGGCACGTGAGATTCTTAAGAAACGGTTTACTACGGACACCTCTCGGCGACTTTCCATGGCTGGGCAGGGATTGATAGGCAGGTCTCTGGGGTCTTAGTTTACCCCTGCATCCGCTACACCAGCGGTTCTCAAACTGAGGTCATCCCCCCCCATGTTCTCGGACTGCAACTCCCAGAAATCCCGGCCAGCACAGCTCGGGGCGAAGGCTTCTGGGAAGGGCAGTCCCAGAACATCGGGGGACCCTAGTTGGAGAACCACTGCGCTGCATGCACGACACTGCCTCTCCTTTTAGCAAAAATCAGGAGAAGGCCACGTGGTCTTCAAAACCATCCAAAGGGAGGAACAGGGGAGTGTTGAATTAATTAACAATTTATAATTGTTTCATTGTTGTTTTGCCCCTGTGGGCATGTGCCAATCCTTGCCTCTATGTGTGTGTATGTCTGTGTGTGTGTGTGTGTGTGTGTCCTGCCTTACCTTGTAATACACTCCGTTGAGGTTTGAGAAGAAGCACTGGTGATACCACCAGCCCCCGTGGGAGATGGCGGCACAGATGTTCCCGGTGTCGGGCGTGCTGAAGCTCCTCTTATTGTGGTACCAGGCGAAGGAGTCCTCCACCGTCCCGCTGAAGCCTTCCACATGCAGGCGGTAATAGTTGGCCTTGTGTCCTGCCTTACCTTGTAATACACTCCGTTGAGGTTTGAGAAGAAGCACTGGTGATACCACCAGCCCCCGTGGGAGATGGCGGCACAGATGTTCCCGGTGTCGGGCGTGCTGAAGCTCCTCTTATTGTGGTACCAGGCGAAGGAGTCCTCCACCGTCCCGCTGAAGCCTTCCACATGCAGGCGGTAATAGTTGGCCTCGTCTTCGATGCTGCACAGCAGAAAGAAGCAGGGCTGAAAAGCGGCTCGGGGTCTCTGGCTCCCCAAACAAGCCTTCCTGGGGTCCAAACAGCCTGAAAGATGCCAGGGACGCACGGAGGGGGCGGCGGAAAGCATCAGCGGCTGCTTCCTCCTTCTCTGCCTCCCTGCCATTCCGGGCTGGGACATTCCCCCAGAAGGGAAATGCAGGCATTCTGAATGTGTGGATCTCGACATGACTGAACCCCTTCATAGTCATGGTGTCTCCACACCATTAAAGTGGTTTGGAAGCCGGGCAAAGAATTCTCATCTAACAATTCTGCAAGAATATCATCTCGTGAGACATGAGGAAAAAAAGCACAATGGGAATCACAAAGAGCAGAGGAGCGAGGAAGTGGGCTCTTTGAGCCCCGGTGTTAATTGAGCAGCCCTGAAGTGCATTGAAATCCCCTGTACGGTTTCACCCTTTCCTTTGCTCACAGCAGAAGCTTTCGGTTACTCTGCTGAAAGAAAATTTGGACAACTGCGACACCACCTTAATAGAAATGGGGATTTGTAAGCCTTAGGGATGCTGGCTGGCAAGAAGATCTGTCCTGCATGGAAGAGAGGGGTGGGATAGAGGACCTCTAGAGCCGTTTTTTGTGACTCTGTCCAGAACCTACCTGAAGAACTGGTAGAAGGCATGCTTGTGCTTATGGTTCCAGTCTTCCAGGTCAATGCGGAGAGAGTAGTCCCCCTGGTTTGTGATCTTGTGAATGTTCTCGTTGCCCATCCAGAATTCCCCATGCAAAACTCCAAAACCTTCTTTGTATTCATCCCATGTTCTCGTAAAGTTGACGGTCCCGTCCTGCCGCCGCTGGATGACGGTCCAGCCTCCACCTGCCGAGGGTTTGCAGAGTGAGTAAGTGACTGAATGCCATGCCCGGCCTGTTTTCAGCATTCGCCGGCAGAAATTTCACTAAATAAAGAAGCAGCAATGCTAAGCAAAGGCAGTATATTTGATGGCGCTCAAAGCTGCGGGAGAGAAGAATACTACTCGATGGTGTTTTTTTGGTTAGACGTCCCTTGAGCAATCCTGTCACCCATTCAAGGCAGAAGGTTTAAGGAAGATATTGATGCGCTGGAACATTTTCAGACTTGGAAAGGCCCCGTGGTGAGCCCCGTGGCAGAGTGGTTAAAGTGCAGTGCTGCAGGGAAGACTCTGCTCATGGCCAGAGTTTAATCCGGACAGGCTCCGGTGGCCAGCTCAAGGTTGACTCAGCCTTCCATTCTCCCGAGGTTGGTAGAATGAGTACCCAGATCATTGGGGTGGGGGGTGGGGAGCAACGCATAGCCTGCAAAATTAGATTGCAAACTGTCCAGAGAGTGCTTTAAGCTTTATGGGGTGGTATATAAGATGCCTCCATGTATAAGACACCCCCACTTTTCTAATCCCAAATTAAGAAATCTAAGTGGGGCTTAGCAAGTGCAGGGGGAAAGGGATCAAAGCGCTGCAGGATTGCTTTGATCCCTGCTTTCCCCTCCACTTGTTTTTGTTCTCTCTTCAGCTTACTTCTGCGTATAAGACGACCCACAATTTTTAGTCTAAAGATTTTAGACAAAAGTATAGTCTTATACACGGAAAACTACAGTAAGTTGAAACAATACCAACAATAAAGGTCTGAAAACCAAGCCCTGCCAGGAACTGTTGAGAGGCCTGTTTAAGCTTAGCCTGGAGAAGAGAAGGCAGAGAAGACGTCGGAAAGCCGTCTTCACCTATTTGAAGGGCTGTGACATGGAACGTGGAGGAGTCTTGTTTGCTCCAGTTCCAGAACAGTAGGACCTGGAGGAATGGGTTCAGATTACGAGACTGGAGATTTTGCCTAAGCTTTAGGAAGAACGTCTTGACAGTAAAAGCTGCTCAATTGTGGAACAGACTGTCTTGGGGTGTGGTAGCCTCTCCTTTACTGGAGATTTTTCATCCAAGGTTGGATGGCTACCCATCAGGGATGTTTGAACTGTGCATTTCCTGCGCTGGCGGGAGAGTGGACACCATGACCTTTGGGGTCATTTCCAGCTCTACAGTGATACTATGATTCTAAATGCTAGAACCCTGTGGTGCCGTGGTTAAACTGCAGTACTGACGTCAAGACTCTGCTCACAACCTGAGTTTGATCCCTGTTGGGCTCAGGTAGCCAGCTAAAAGTTAATTCAGCCTTTCATCCTTCCGATCCCTGTTGGGCTCAGGTAGCCAGCTAGAAGTTAATTCAGCCTTTCATCCTTCCGAGGATGGCAAACTGAGTATCCAGCTTGCTGGGGGCAGTTTATAAGCAGCAGTGTTTGCTTTTAAGCTATGCAGAGGAGGAAAGGATAATAAATCCGAAGGCCACGTGGCTCCTTCCTCATGGCAGATCACGCATTTCGGTCATCATTGAAGAATGAAAACACACACACACAAAAGAGAGAGAGAAAAGAAAAAAGAAAGATAAAGATAATGATAAAGAATAGAAACATGAAGGAATGGTTAATATCCATCCATGTGTTCATATTAAAAAGGTACTAATGCTTTTGGGTTTGGCTTTGGCTTTAAATTCTATTTGTGCTGTCCACAGAAGAAGCGATAGCCCGTCTTGCCAGGAAGCGCCCATGAGGACTAGCAACCCAGGAGAAGCTACCACTCAGCCTTTGCCGTACCTTCAATGTCCATCTCGCACAGGACTTCCATGGGTAGCCCTTCCGCAGAGGGCATGATGCTGTAGATGCCTGACCGACGGATCCCGTTGTAGTATATGGAGGCACAGTCGATGGGGCAGTTCTTGGCGTGCTTCGCATCTGGGAAACAAACCCCATTCAAGGGCATGTCAATGAGCAGAAATGGGATAAATAAACAGAAAAGATGGCTCTACGTTTCTTCCCTGCTATTCTTTGAGCACACTCCATGTCTATAGCTCCATTCCTTCCTTCCTTCCTTCCTTCCTTCCTTCCTTCCTTCCTTCCTTCCTTCCTTCCTTCATTCATTCATTCATTCATTCATTCATTCATTCATTCATTCATTCATATGTGCCAGACCATTATAGATAGCCTGTGCTTAGAAAAGCAAAATCTCTAACTAATGGAAGCATCTGAGGATCACAGCAAGATTTTAACACTGGACGTTTTCCTATTACAGTAGCTTAGTTTGTTTGGCACTTGGTCTTCCATATCTGAGCATGGGATTCCATGGAAATGTGATTTCACCAACACAGAAAGACTGGCTCTCTGCAGGATCCATGCCCTCCGAGTTCTAATGATGGGTTATCCTTAATGGCCGTTTTTGGAACCATTCCCTCGCTCACCAAAAGTTTCCAAGTGATGTACACTCCGGGAAAGAGACGTTTTCGCTGGGATGGGCTTTTTTTTTTTTTGCTGATTTCTAGAGAATGGCATCGGGCTAATTGAGCACTCCTATGAATTCTTACCCCTTGTGGGGTGGGAAGTATAGTTTTATAGGTACCGGGTCTCTAATTCCTTTGTTTCAACCAGTTGCTTTTCTGCACTAGCGTTAAGAGGCCTCGTAACTTTTTAGGCATATCATCATCATCATCCCTGTCATCAACAGAGCTTTGTTGCAGGGATAGCTCTCGGCCTCTGTGTCCTCAGGAGACCCCAGGCAGCCCTGATCTCCTTCCCAGGTAGAGTCAACGCGGAGCGTCCAGAACCGGCCGGCTTAAAGGATCGCTCGGCTGGACTTGGCTGTGCGTTTTCTTTGTCCTACATCAGCGGCTCAGGATGGATTTGGGCTAGTGGGTGAAAGTCCTTAGGAGCTCATCCTGGTTCAAGGATCAAGGAGGGAGGGGAGAGAAGATTCCATTAATCTGATTGTCCTTAGGGGATCAAAGGCCTCCTTTGAAAAAGCAACTCAAACAGCCTTAGCCACGATCGGCCTTTGTGCAGGAGCGGATCGGAGGCTGAAGAAAGGCAAAGTCTGGGAAGTAGAGAGAAAGAGGCCCTAAGTCCGTCTCGGAGGATCAGGACTGTGGCTAAGATGCTGCCTTCTCATCCTGCAGCAGGCGCCTCTCGGAGAAAAGCCTGGACCTTAGTCCCCCTCATTTTTAAGTGAAAGAAATGACAGGGACAGGGGGACGGTGCGGTCAGGACTGTGGCTAAGATGCTGCCTTCTCATCCTGCAGCAGGCGCCTCTCGGAGAAAAGCCTGGACCTTAGTCCTCCTCATTTTTAAGCGAAAGAAATGACAGGCACAGGGGAATGGTGCAACTCCCCGCGGTCTCCTGTTAACTCCCCTTCAATTCCTCCCTTGGGTCCTCTCCTCTCTATGAGTTATGAGTCACCATGCATTTCTGCATTCTCTAATTGCCAGCTGGGACACTTTAAACACCAGCCGCTGCTGGGACACGATGATGCTCCATCACCCTGCTTCAATGCTCTAGAGCGCGTTTAGAGAAAATGTTGGGAGGCCCAGGGTTGAGGACCACTGCTCTAGAAAGCGTTTAGAGAAAATGTTGGCCTTCCAGGTGGAAGATCCGATGATGACAACCTTCCTTCCGAAACCTTGGGCTGCATTCACACAAGCAGAGGCCAACTCTTAAAAAGCAGAGACATCACCTTCCCGACAAAGGTCCGCATAGTCAAAGCTATGGTTTTTCCAGTAGCGATATATGGAAGTGAGAGCTGGACCATAAAGAAGGCTGACCGCCGAAGAATTAATGCCTTTGGATTGTGGTGCTGGAGGAGACCCTTGAGGGTCCCCTGGACTGCAAGGAGAACAAACCCCTATCCCTTTTGAAGGAAATCAACCCTGAGTGCTCACTGGAAGGACAGATCCTGAAGCTGAGGCTCCAATCCTTTGGCCATCTCATGAGAAGAGAAGACTCTCTGAAAAAGCCTGTGAGGCTGGCCATCGGTGAAGGCAAGAGGAGAAGGGGACAGAGGACGAGATGGATGGACAGGGTCACCGAAGTGACCAGAATGAATCTGACCAAACTCCGGGAGGCACTGGAAGAGAGGAGGGCTTGGCGTGCTCTGGTCCATGGGGTCACGAAGAGTCGGACACTACTTAACGACTAAACAACAAGAACAACAAGCAGAGGCCAACAGACAGGGTTATTCCCGCTATTGCTTCAGAACGAAGGGATCTTTTACTTCTCTGCTTAGGAGTGAAACCTGGTGTGGGCATACCATGGCTGTGAATTCAGGGTCACAGCCACCGTTGGCTCTGGGTGCGAGCGAGTGGAGGAAGGGCTTCGGGAAATCTCTCCTGTCCCCAAATGTTAGCTAGAAAAGCTCCAGTTGCACAGCTCCTGGTGCGGGAAATCTCTCCTGTCCCCAAATGTTAGTTAGAAAAGCTCCGATTGCACACCTCTTAGCAATAGGTAAAGGTCAAAGTTCCCCTTGACCTTGAGTCCAGTCATGTCCAACTCTAGGGCGTGGTGCTCATCCCCGTCTCCAAGCCGTAGAGCCAGCATTTTATCCGTAGACAGTTTCCATGGTCACGTGGCCAGCGTGACTTAGACATGGAACGCCGTGACCTTCCCACTGAGGTGGTACCTATTTATCTACTCACATTTTCACATGCTTTCAAACAGCTCAGTTGGCAGGAGCTGGGAGAAGCGATGGGCGCTCCCTTCATTGTGTGGATTCGATCTTGAAGCCGTAGAGCCAGCATTTTATCCGTAGACAGTTTCCATGGTCACGTGGCCAGCGTGACTTAGACATGGAACGCCGTGACCTTCCCACTGAGGTGGTACCTATTTATCTACTCACATTTTCACATGCTTTCAAACAGCTCAGTTGGCAGGAGCTGGGAGAAGCGACGGGCGCTCCCTTCATTGCGTGGATTCGATCTTGTGATGGCAGATCTTCTGACCTTGCAGCACAGAGGCTTTTGCAGTTTAACGCACAGCGCCACCCCATCCCTATTCTTAACGATAACCCCTGTCTGAAACAGCCGCCACCCTCACCACCACCATGGCCAACCCAAAGAAAAAGCTGCCCCCCCCGCCGCCTGCTTTCACCTGGGTAGTGCATCTCCTGCTGCAGCTGCATCTCGGCCGGGACGAAGCAGCCGGGGTGATGCCGCACCCACTCCATCAGCAGGGAGATGTTGTGCACTTGAGCCTGCATGTCGTAGAGCAGAGCCGCCTGCATGTGCTGGAGGGCGGCCGCCTCATGGTAGCGCTGCTCCAGCTCTTGAACCCGCTGCTCCACCGTGGAGTTCCGGTTGGCTTTCTCTTCGTGCTTTGCCGGGGGGGGGGTTGAGTAGAATGGGAAGAAAGGGGGGGGGCAGAGACAGAAGTAAAAAAAATGAGCTCAGCACAAACTTCAGCAAGCCCATGGTTCTCAATGTCCTGACGAACTTTTCTCAATGCCTTAGGAATGCTGTTTGCTCCTGTTTTCTTTTGTTTAAAACTAAGGTGCGCAAGCGGTGTGGACTGGGTACTATAGGTGCCCCCCCACAAAAAATTTGGTCTCTTTGTGTCCCCCAGGCAGTCCTGTGCCTCAATAAGCAAAGTTCTCCACTCCCAGAAGCCTCTGAGAGCTGCGCTTTTAGGTTATACAGGCTCTTGGACCTCTGATTGCCTCCATAGTAACCAATGGCGTCACAGTCACTAGCCAATGGGTGCTTGTCATCCCCAGAAAAGCGCAAGAGGCCCATAAGGTGATTCAATCATTTAGGACTTGGGCCTTAGTAGCTTTGAGGATTCTCTCCTTCTGACTCAAGGGAAGAGGGAACAGAAAAGATCCGTAGGTATTTATCTGCAACTAAAAGACTCATGAAGTAGAGAGCTGGAGATGTTCTTAGGGTTAGGGATGTGACTGCCCGACACATTTCCCTTTTCTCTCTCAGGGCAATAATTTATTTATTCAGCAGTTAGCTCTGTCCACATGACCAAAAACTGTGCAAAAAAAGAAAACCAGTTCTGGTCAATAAAACTGACCATCATGTAACAACCCACCAACTCTGGAGACTGAACAGATCAGAATGAGTGGCAGATCTCACAGAACCAATAGCTAAGTTGGCAAAGTGACTTATGGGGACTAAAATTCCTGGAACACTCCCAGTCAGTGTGGCAAGACCCGTTGTTGCATTTTGTTAAATTGTTTAGTTTTAGTTGCGTTCAAAATCCACTAACGTAGGAAGAGCCGCGCTTGCCAAATAGGCCAAATGTTTAGCTGAGGTTGTATTATATGAGACAATTGTTTTTAAAAAATTCCCAAGGAAACCACACTTGTGCTTCTCCAAGGCTGAATATGTTTAGTTGCCTACTCCCAGAAGCCTTTAGGAGCATCCTTTTGCAGTAAAATTGGTTATACAAGTTTTCCAAGTTCTAGTTGCCTTGCTAGTAATGAGAGATGTCAGTGTCACTAGCCAATAGGTGCTTGCTGTCTTCAGAACTGCCCCCAGCCAGAAGGGCTAGCATGTGGTGGTGGTGGGGAGGCTGTTTGGGACTTAATAGTGAAAACATCAATGCCACCAAGAGAGTTGTAAACCCCTGCTTTCTATTCAGAGGGGATAAACTCTGCATGAATGGACTCAAATCCGATATCAGAAACAGTGATAAAAGAGAAACCAATTTCCAAACACTTCAGCCTCCAAGGACTGGAATTACAGAGGGAGATTTGAGAGGTAGATCAGGGACGATGGCTACATTCACAAGTTCCTATGCGTCACTACCGGCCTGAGCGGAGACCAAGGCTTTTTAGTGAGCTGTGTATATAGTAAGAAACTAGCTTTCTGTAGCATAAAATAGTTGTGTCCCACAGCCTCAGCCTGAAAAGCAACTCTTAGTTTTTTTCTGTGACAGCCAGATCTGTTTGGAGTATAGCTTTTCACCCTGCCTGGAGCCTGCAGTGTCAAGTAATTCACATTATCATGGAATAAATATTGGTGACATGCATTTGCAAACCAGTGTCTGAAGAAGTGGGTTTGAGCCACACAAGCTCACACTGAAATCAATGTGGGTGTGATCAGGTGGGGGCATCTGTCCCTTTATTTGATTTGCTATAGGGATGGGCTGGTTTGCTCCTTTTCCCAGCATGATGCAATTGCAGGAGTGACCCAACCACATCCCCAGAAAGTCCCTGTCTGCACCTTCCTGGGTCCTGTCGGGGGCTTCTACTTTTCTAATGTGGGTTGGATCACCTCATTTTGGTTCATTTCCAGTGCATGCAATTGCTGGGGTCAAACCAAAGCAAGCTTCCCGCTTTAATTTCCCACTTGGTTTCAGAATCCCCATATCACTAGTAGATTAAATGGTCATCTTAGCCACTTAATGATATGGGGAAATGGGGAAATTAAATAGGGAAATTAAAACCTTCCTTCGCTCTTACACTGAGCCAAAAAATGGACACTAATCCACATGAGCCACAGTCCAGAAGAAAGGTCTCCGGCCAAGCTTCATTGGAACAAGAAAGAACCCTGCAAGGGTGTGTGTGTAGGAGAACTTCCTGCTTGGTTGTTCCTTTGTGGGGCGTTTGTCCCCAGTTTTTATGTTCATCCTGTCCCTTCCTGTTCCAGCTGAGCAGCAAGTGGAAAGGGCACAGAATTCATTCAGAATTCAGAATTCACCTTAGCGGGCTTGTGCAAGAGCAGCTTGTGAACCATTTAATGAGCCTCCGCCTCCGTGGTGCCATTGCTGCTGTTAATGATGATGCTTAGAGATTGGGGCCTTTGTGCGCGCATTGAAGCCCATTGCTGATGCAAATGAAGGGTGCAGGCCGCTGCATCGTTCAACCGGACCATCTCAATAGGCGAATTCGGAGCTCTGTTGTATGGCAAAGGCTTTTACAAGAAGTCTTCTATAAAAAGAAAACATTGTCTCTTCCGAGAGAGACAAGCGAACCTTCGCTCCTTCATTCATGACCACATATGAAGATCGGCCAGATCTTAGCTCTCATAAAGATAAAAGGAAAGGTTCTTGCTTTGTACCCTCCAGTTAAAGAGCATTTCGGAGCCTCCTGAATCAGTTTTGTCTATGTAGATTGGTCGTGGTTTCCCTGGGTTCTTTTCCCAAATTTTCAAAGAAGTCACAGCTGTTGGTTGTTGTGGGTTTTCCGGGCTCTTTGGCCAAAGAGCCCGGAAAACCCACAACAACCATCAGATCCCGGCCGTGAAAGCCTTCGAGAATACAAGTTACAGCTGTGTTATGTCTGCCAAACCCACAAAAAAAAATCATCTGGCACTTTGAAGACTGACATATTTTAATCTTGGTATTTCCTTTGGGTTGGGAAGTTTCTGTTTGCTGAAATATTATATATTTAGGTCTTTTAGAATGCCTTTTATACATGGTTTGAAATGGTTGTATTTAATTTCATCATCAAGTCGCTTTATATGATTTTGTTTGTACACTTTTATGTTGGGGACCTCCCAGAGTGGCCGCACCCAAGATGGGCAGTATATAAGTTGAACAAACAAACAAACAAATGAATGAATTCATGATTACACACCAGCAGATATTGCAACTGAGATATGGATACAGGATCCTGTTGCAGATCCTTTGGCCAATGTTGTTTCCAGGCACACACAGGTAACACTACCCCAGGATATTATGGTACAATCCAGAACATCAAAGGGTTGTACCCTTGCTCATTTTCCCGTGTGATAAATGCCAGAAAAGCCCCCCCACACACAGCATTTTACCTGGCAAAATCAGACCAGCCACTATGCAAATGAACACATAGGCGCAAAACTGGTGTTAGGAACAGCAGCACGCATAAAGCAATGGAAAGCCACTTCATTTCCAATGGATGCTCTTTCTCTGATGTCAGGATGGCCATCCTTGAAAGAAAAAACTGCAGAGACAAATTCTGAAGGGAAACAACTAAGGTTTAGTTCTCCGTCCCTTGGCTTGAACAAAGACAGTGGCTTTTTAATTTCATGTTAAATATCTCAATCAACTCATCCGTGCAGAGTTGCTTGTATTATTTCTCAACTGCGTGTAGCACAGATGGTTGATCCAATAAGACTATGAGACAAAAACAAGTCATTTCTACCTTTATCTAAACCAAGACACTCTCCTAGTAAGCAGAAACGGTTGCTTTGATGCCTTGTAAGGTAAATACACCAGCCAGGGTGTTTCTGCTAACCGGCCCTTCGAATGTTTATCAGCAGACTTAATGGTTTTCTGCATTGCGTTTCCTTCTGTCCCATACCACCCAAAGGGCTTGGGGACTGGGACAGAAGACAAAACCATCGCTGCTGGCCTCCAACGCTTTTCTGTGGATGAGGGCCATCTGTGCTTCCTCCACCAAAAAGCCCACCTTACCTGCAGCTCCAATACCTTGATCCGGTGGCGATGGTTCCGGAGCTCCTCCTGAAGCTCCGAGATGAGTTCTCGCAGCTCCAAGATCTGCTGCTTCCGTTCCTCGTTCTCGTGGAGCCAGTAGGAGACTTCGTCGGTGCAACGGAACATATCTGGGCATCGTTGCTCATCCAGCTGCGGCAGGGTGGCTATGATTTTGCACCTCCCATTGGGCAAGACCTGGTTGCTGTACTCCCCACACTGGATGAGTCCAGGGCTCCCTCGGTGGCCGTCGTCAGCCACCAGGCCATTGCTGTTGGCTGCCAGGGGTCTCTGTAGGGAGTCGCAGGTCAGGAGGACCAGGATGAGGAGAGCCCTTAACCCTAAGCTGTTGAGTCCCCAGGGGAGAGAGAGGTCCATGATGTCAAGAGTGGGGACAAGCTCGGGGAGGTCCGTGGCAGAGTCCCCTCACTCGAATGGGTTCCACGGCGGGGACATCCTCTTAGTGCAGACACCAGGCAGGGCACAGGTTTGAACGTGGAGCAATTGGTGGGGAAGACTCCGGAGACATGGCGGCTGTTATTTGGGCACAACCCAGTTGGCGTCCATCAAAGAAGGAATCAACCAGGGCAAGGAGGAGAACACCACTCGCCCCCCCTTCCTCTCACGCTCTGCTATGGAGCCTCCCATGAGGTCCGTCCAAATCTCAGTGTTGTTCTGATCACCCGGCTGAGGCCACGGACACTTTCTCAGGCCCGCACTCCGTGGTTTTCCTCTTCCACCAACACCTTCCAAGACAGGCAGGGAACGCTTCAGAGGGATCCAGGGATCAGCACCACGGACAAGGTCCCTGACCACCACCACCACCACAGGACGTTTGCAGACGAAGGAAGCGCCCAAATAAACAAAGGGCCCTATAGAGAAACTTGTTCCGTTCCCATTTGTGTGTCCATCACACACCGCTGCCTGTTTTTCCGCATTGCCCAGGTTTCTTTCCTGAAAAACAGAAAACAGGGAGAACTCAAGAGTCCGGCAGTGACAGATGCCAAAATAATAAGGCACCGTTATGTAGCTTATCGAAGCGACCAACATGACTTCAGTCGTTTTCCTGTCTTCTACTGCCTCCCGGAGTTGGGTCAGATTCATGTTGGTTGCTTTGGTGACACTGTCCAGCCATCTCATCCTCGGTCGTCCCCCTTCTCCTCTTGCCTTATAGAAGCAACCAACGTGAATGTGACCCGACTCCGGGAGGCGATGGAAGACAGGAGGGCCTGGCGTGCTCTCGTCCATAGGGGTCACGAAGAGTCGGACACGACTGAACGACTAAACAACAACAAAAATGTAGCTGTGTCCAGCAATGAAAGGCAAGAAAAGGAAAAGTATGTGCCATGTAAATATAATATTAATAAAAGGACTAATTCTAGGCCTCTGGAAGGGTTCTGATTTCCCCAAGAAACCGGCAAGGTTCCTCCCTTTGGTTCAAGGCATTCGGGGAGTCATAGAGAGATGGAAAAAGTTTACTTTTTGAGACTCAGTAGCTTCCTGGCCATGCGGTCTGGCGCATTCTGGAAAGCATCCGGTCTCTAACGTTGCTGACGTGTAAAAATATACGGAGTGCAATCTTTTGGCAGAAATACCTGGTCTGTCTTGTGTATGCAATGGTAAGAGGGTTTAAAAATAAATACAGTCAATCAAGAATGGCACGGGGTTTCTGATTGGGCCATGGTGGGAAAATACTCCCAGGTTTTATTTTGAAAATATTT